GATCATTTGAACCGCCGCGTCTGACCAGACGGAACATCGGCGAATTCATTAAAGCAGATCCCAGCGGCTTGCGCGAGACCGCGGCATCGGTCCAGTACGGGATGCGTTGGGGCAAGGGGCTCGAGGAGATCAACGATGAGATCGAGAGCTGCCTAAACAATGCCAGACGACGCAGCCGGGAACGGCGTGCCCCAGCGGTTATCGTGGTGTCGTATGCCGGCAACGACGTGTGGGGGAAGCACGGGTTCGTCGGCAACACTTGGATTGACTCCAGAAGTGTACACCGGAATCCCGCTGTTCAGCGCGCTGCTTCAGAGTGGCAGGATGAATTAGCGAGGAAGCATTTCGCGCAGTTGGATAGACTCGCGAGCTTCCTCCAGCGCCCCGATGTGGGGGCCATATCGATCATAGCATACGCAGACGCGAATTCCTTTGGACTCCACCAAGATTACGCGCGCCAGATGTGCTTGTTCGCTGACGCCGCCCAGAACAAAGGGTTGCTTGCTGTGACTGGGTCTCCGCTCACACGTGCCACAACTCGCTACGATGGGTTCCATGCAGAGGACAGCGAAAGCAACAGGACTGCTTACTATCGCTACTTCGTCGCCATGGCAAGACTCACATACCAGATGTGGCGATTGAAGGACTGTGAAGCGCTGCGGAAGCAAGCTCGCCTTCAACCTGTCATGACTCCGAAAGAGGAGAAAGCCCGTGCGGAAGCCGAGGCCCGAGAGAGATATCGTGCGTCCTACGTGTTTCTCGAGCCGCATGACCGATTCCCTGAGAACAAGATCATGATCGAACCCAACCTTTGCAAGACATGCGTGTACCCCGACGGTCACGAGGTGGCGCTGTTGGACGAAATTACTGGCGAGCACTTGAAGGCCACTCCGGAGGAACTGGAGCGGGCTGGAATCATTGTGCCCCAGGGAACTGGTGAGCCAACTGTTGACATCACCTCATCACCTGAAAGGGACTCAAGCGTCAATAACCCCGTGGAGGATGACTTCGTTCCGGACTATGATCCTGATGACGAACCTCATCCAACTCAGAAGACAACACTTCTTGCGGAGCCAAATGATTCATGCCCTGACGAGAAGCTCATGAGCGTGAACGCTGGCAAGAAGGGCGCTTGGGAACACGTGTCTACAGTAGAGATTGAAGAGTCAGACCTTCGTGTCAGATCGGACATCGACCAACCTCCTGAGACTGTCGATGAGATCATTGAGATCGTGGGCGATCACTACAAGGCTGCTCTTGCCGAAGGTTTCCAAGACCCGCAGGATGACGCTCTTGAATCCGATGATGAAGAGATTGTTTTCAATCAGCAAATCGTCGGAGGTTCAAGCGCGCTGGAAAGCGTTGCCGATAAAATGAAGTTCAACAAGATCTATGCAGCCCAATACCTCGAAGGGGGCGCATTGCATCTTTCGAGGAGCCCGCATGGAGCAATCTCCATGTCGAGCAACGCCCTGCGCCATTACACCGAGGCGGTCACAGGCCGAACTCTTCCTTTGCACTTCATCGACGATGACGGAGACGATGATGAACTCCCGCCACCGCCGCCGCCGGCGGAACCTTGCCCGTACAAACGGGACAAGGACGGAGTTCACCGCCCGGTTGCAGAGGAACTGCCTGCCCTCAAAAGAAAGTCTGCCGCTGATCTCGGTGCAGCTCCTAAGGCGAAGGCAGCGCCAGACAGCCTCAAGAAGCTCCGAACTGGTGACAAAGTCGTGAATGTCGACATGTCCAGCTCGGCGGAAGCCGGAGCCAAGAAAGGCTCATCAGAGGTGGTCGACGTTGAAATGGAAGAAACGGCAGGGACATCATCATCTTCTGCCAATCCTCCCAAGGCGAAACACATGCCAAAGCCATCATCCGTGCCCAAAGCCGCAGCATCGAGTTCTGCGGCCCCCGGAAGGGATGCGCCCAAATTGGTTCCAGCAGGAGGAACTCCGATCCGTACGACAATGCCGGCAAACCAAGTGCCTGGTGCCGCGGTGATCGGATGGTATGACCAGGAGCAGTTCTTTGTTTCAAAGCGTGTCTCCGGCCTGCTGCGAGGGCATAACCATGCCAATCGACGAGATCGCATTCCGCTTCCGGACTTCCAAGATGGAGCATGGATGGATTTTGCATCGGTGTTCTCATTCATCAAGAGGAGGTACTCTCGCTCCCTCACTGTGTCGGACTTGATTGACATCGTGACGTCAAACCATAGGTTTATGCTCGATGTACAGCTTGCCCGCGAGGGGGAACTCTTCGCTGATAAGTATCTCTTCCTGCCGGTGCGAATCAAGGCAATCCAATCTCACAACGACTGGATTCTGGAGAACATCAACATGGCGTGGCCTGAGGTCGACAGAATCATCTGTCTTGATCCGTCGTTCACGATCGAACGCCTGCTACGAAGGGAGCATCCTACGCTTCCAGTACGACTTGACTTGCACATCAAGGACATTCACCCCAAGGTCTTGTACCACTACACTCATATCGCCTTCTTGGATGATGTGATCCGATGTGGCATTTGTCCGGGGGGACTCAGGACTAGCAAGGCTCATTCGTACTTCTCGGCTTTCGATCCGTGGAGCATTCAGAAGACGAGTCAAGCAGGAATGGCCTCGACCAGACCAGTTGCGGTCGCCGTTGATGTCGAGATGGCGGTGTCATATGGAATCAGATTCGCCGTCACTCAAAGCCAGGCCGTTGTGACCACCGATTGGGTTCCAAACCAATTCCTCATCTATGCGTATGATGTGTCAGCGAAGTGCTTCATCTATGCGCACCACGATTATGCAAAGGAGAGAGCCTCATTCAATCAGGATCTCCGAGACATTGTCGTGCGTCGCCGGGAACGGCTTGACCGTGGTGATGAGGCAGACGACAACGCAAGAAGGCAGTCATTGCTGGCAAGGTCTAGGTGGGACCTGTTCGGAAAATATGAGAAATGGGTGCATGGAGCCTGGGTGGAAAATGCATTCATCCTCGAATCATACAACCGTGAATTCTGCAAGGATCAGCTCGAGCATGCAGATGCCAATATCGGAACGTACTCAACTCCGTACATGGCGATTGCATGGCAGCCGGAAGGCGATGCCCCCAACAACTCGGCATGGCCTCTCTCGCTGGGATCAGTTGATTGGGCGCATTGGACCCCTGAGATGGAGATGCGCTATGATCCTCGGGGAAACGAAAAGTTCTTCACTTCACGGTGGATCACCGTTCGTCAACACGATGTTGAGCCACAGCACTGCATGGACTGCGGATCCGATTCCCCATTCGGATGTTTGTCGTGCTTGAACTGTGGACGACTAGCTCGTGTGGCAACGGATATGAGGAAGGCATCACTGCTTGTCCGTCTTGAAAACTTAGCCGCAAGCTTCGGTTTCGACTTGTCATTGGACATGTTCCCGGATGACGATATTCGTGCCCGGGGGGACCGAGGGCTGAGGAATCCTGCAGGAGGTAGGATCAGGACTGGACAATCCGCCATTGCAACGATCCGAGCACACGCCAAATCGCACATGGACAAAGCGTCCAAATTGGAATTTGGCTCGCTCACAGAGCGGTTGTGCATGGATCCGTTCTACGCGTTCAACTGCGCGGCGCAGGACATGTCCCCTGACTGTTAAAAGTTTTTGCAACGACTCAGCTCAGCGGTATTGCCCATTCCGACGCGCACCGCCCAACAAATCCAAGAAGGGGTAGGCGTCAATGTGAAAGCGAAGATCTTGATGATTCCAGACACATCTCAGCGAGAAGTCGATGTGTCGAACGAGGTCTTTGTCTTCTGGAAGAACAAGATCCTACGCCCTGGTGTCTTTGTCGGACTGTACGCAATGGAACACCACCGCTTCGAAGTACTGGGGTTCTCTGGTTCATTCCTCTCGGAAGAGAAGGACGTTGAGAAGCTGAAAACGGAGTTTGTTGGATGGCTGTCATCCGACCTCCAGAGCATCCCGTCCTATGAGAACCTGGTGCGAGCAGACCCAAGGAACATCCATGTTCCGGAAAGAGAGGGTGTCGATCGAGTAAAAGGCAAAGGTAAGGGCACCTGGCGTCACGGAGGTCGACAAACCCGTGAGAATGCACCTTACCCAAGGAATCGATGGGCCCGTGACTGGAGGGACCTCGATGATGACGTTGGTACCATCCCAGGTTGGCACTATGCAGATTGGACCTGGTACCAAGATAACTACGGAGCGGACTGGTGGGGTCGCGGCCGATAAACCCCACCTATGCACGGCGGGAGCCGATGCCTTATGACAGTTGTGCAGTTCTTTTCATCCAGTGCTTGTGGTAGCGCATTGTCTTTCTAGGTGTCAATATGCTCTCAATAGTCCTTGCACGCGCTGCGGAAGCAGTTGCCTCACGTCATCTTCTTTGAGGCGATCCGCAATCTTTGCAAGGCTCAAATTCAATTTAGCCGAAGTGCACTCTTCCTGAAACGGAAGCATCACTAATTATGCCGCGTGGAAACGTGTGCCTACGTAAAAGGCCCATTTCCAGTTTGACGATCTGCGGATGCATGTGAAAAGAGCTGCGTCCGACTGCAATTCGTCCGTTTGGCATTTTTACTTCATAACTAATCGAGTTAATCGTCGTTCCCTCGCGCCTCAGGTCGGCAAAGAATCTATGAAAGCCACAGGCACGTACGGTGTTGACCATGAAAGGAAACACCGGGGAACCGGAGGTCAGATCGGTATGCACGTTGTCCCGTGTACATAGTCGTGTATAGTGTTCTTTACTACCTTTGCTGCCAAGTGCGTTCAGCGGGGGGTGTATTTGCACGATTGTACACCTGTACATACCATATTGACCTCTATGTTTGGCTCAAGAAAAGGGCGCTCTACATGTTGGTACTTGTAGGCTGTTGGCCTGTAAATCCAATATCATCAGGAGTCTACATCATGGGGATGAAGATGCAAACTCCTTTGTTTCTGCAGTTTTTAAACCTTGGAGGGTACACCCCCCACACACTCGGACAGCCTTCCAGCGAGGAAGATTCCTCCGCGGCCAAGCCGGGCGAGCCAAAGCCAGCGGTGCCCATGGTGAGCATCTCGTGACGTGGCAACGGTGGTCAACTGGAGAAAGAGATGGACCAATAACAGATGACCTTTTCCAGCCTACAAATGAGTGGCCAAAGCACACTCCCTGAGATCATCATGGAAGTGCAGATTCACCACCTGTTTGAGGAAAAGTATGGAAAGGTCATCCAAGGCACCATGAGGTTTCAGAGAGTGTAAGCCAATGCAGCATGGGGAAGTCTATTTTCTTGTTGGGCTGTTCAGAAATCAAAGCTCCATGTGTCGGTGCCATTTTGCTTGGCCGACAGGAAGGGAGATTTGAGGCATTTGGACACTGAGATTTCATGAGCTTCAGAGAGTTTGTAGGTTCGATATGGTTCGATGTCATGCAGTTCTTTTGGGGCCTTGATGATCTTCTTGAACAATTGAAACAAAGCTCTTTGAGTGGCAACATGTCATTCACCGGTAAAACCATGGGTAAAACGGTCGTCGGACTCGTATTTTTTACCCAGTACTGATTACTGGGACCCGGGACTGGACGTGACTTGTGGGAGATCCTTTCTTCAGTTCGACATTGTTTGTCTATATACTACTACATGTTCTTTGACAAGTCTACACCCCCTCGACAGATGCGAATAAGTTCCTGTTCTGCAATGTATTCAGGCGTCAGGGTGTTGTAAGATTTTCTCATTTAAGAGCAAGATGGAGAAGGTGTCCAGCAGTCTCCCTTCGACATCCCTGACCAACCTTTGCAATCTGTTGAGTGCAGTGTTTGTCCATTGTTGAGCCACTTAAAACAGCAACCCTGAGGTCTTTTCAACCCTAATATTTTTTTTGGGTTCCTATGCTCACATCTGCCACGAATGGCAATCCTTTTCCCTTAGCCTTATAGACTGCCCCAACAAAAATCCACGTAGGGCCCACCGATGTGTCCACGTACCTCTTCAGGCTGGACGACCGCGATTCGCAGCGCGTCGACGGCTTCATGGCCTCGCTCTTCCCGGACTTCCGGGCCTTTGCTGCGGCGACGGCATCGGCGACCCGGAGAGCGACGGTAGAAGAAACCGGGTGTGGGGTGGCATGAGGTGGCATGAGAGCATTAAGGATGTCATCAACTGCTGAGGGAGCTAACTAGAGTGGAAGAGTAGGTGCGAGAAACTTCAATTAGTTTCAATCACAAGACTCCTTCAAGAGGAAAAGGGTCTTTCATGGACTTTCCAAATCCATGCACATGAGCCATTTGAGCTCCGGCTTTCCTGAACTTTCTCACTCCCCTTCTCAGCACCAACTCACTTGCATGGCTTGGCTTCCTTCGCCCGCCCTGCGCACGCCCCGAGGCCGCGCCGGCCCGCGTGGCGCAGCCCGGTGCTGCAGCGGTGCGCTTTGGAGCGGAGCCCGACGCTTCGGCCGACGAGGCGCTTCGTGAGGCGCCGAGGGGTGGAGAATGGAGTGACGAGTGATGTTTGGAGCTTACGACCGACCGTGAAGTCGCTTCAGCCGGGCGGGTGGTTTGCGAAGCCGCAGTGCTTGTATACCATGAAGCTACCTGGAAAGCTTTCAAGCAACGAGAGCAATGAGGAGAACATCGGTGGTTCTCCCACCGATGTTTTGCAGGTTGCAGGTACGGTGGTTCTCGGTGGTGAGGAACCATGTTTCCACGTAGGAGCCACATGTTTGGGTGGTGGGTGTGGATGTATCCCGACGTCCTCCAAGTTTGGCAAGCCATTTGTGACTCCTGGTGTGGATCATCAAGAGAGTTGTGAAGCGGGCGGCTCCAGAAGCTGTTGGCGGAGTCCCGAATCTTGTGGTGGTGGACCCACCAACGAATGATGCGGAGAAGTGCATGTAGTTCAACGCGACTGAAATTCTCCACCACCGTGCGGCGCTTGCGTTGACCCACAACAACTCTTCCGCGCCAAGAACACCCAGAAACTGCATGAAACTGCCCTTCCCTGGCTACTGCGCCCTGGAGGAGCCGTGGCCGGCCGACGCCCACAGCGACGACGACGACGACGCCCGCGATGACGACAGTGACGACGACGCCGCCGACATCACGCCAACCGTGCAGCGCTTTGAGCCAGGGCTGCTGGCAGCCGAAGCGAAGCCAAAGCTGCAGCGCTTCAAGACCAGCAAGCCATCAAAGAGACTTGACTATAGACTAGATTTGATCCCAAAAACTGATTGGAGACATTGTTTCTTTTGGGAGGAGTGATGTGGTTTAGGCATGATTTAGACATGATCATACACGGAGCGTCCCGTTTGGGACGATAAACGGTGCCAGCCTATCTCCTCGTCGAATGAAATGACTGTCACGACTTCAGGGGTCAACCACTCTCGCTACGCCTGAGGATCGAGCGCTTTCCAAGCCGCGTGTCCATCTTGCGGCCTGAGCCCAGGCGAGCGCCTGCCACGCCGGGAGGAGCTCGGTGTGGTGCGAGGAAAACCAGCTCGGTGGAGCTGATAGAGCCAATGAAACACCGACTTCAGGTGCTGGAATAGAACATCCATGAAGATCCTCAAAGGGTCTCGAAGAACATGATGCTTTAAAATGCCTTATATTATAGACATCGTTTTCCACGGTGTTCTACAGCATCATATCAATCATATCACTTAACATGGGGAGTCATGTTCTCTCTCCTTCTGCCCCCCCCCCCCACCGGCCCCTTGCTTCAAGCCCGAGGCCTCCGGGCGACATCGTCTACACCGAGGACGACGTCATGAGCCCCGCCGACTACGCCGCCGGCTTTCGCCGCTGGGCGCCTCCCTCGCCGAGCCAGGCGGGCACCGGCCACTTCATGGCGCAGGCCGGGTCGGGTCGGGGCGGGGGAGCCCCCATATGGGGCGGTCATCGTTGGGGAGCCCAAGGCTAGGCGGCTAGGCACATGGCTGGAACTTTCGGACTCAATTGTGGTCGTTGTTGGACGCTGGAAATAGCAGGGTTGTGTTCACTTTTCAGCAGATTTGTAAAGACTTGACCAGACGCGATGATGAACAGACACCTCTGAACCGACATGAACCGACACCGCGGACTTTCAGAGACCATGGACGAGCGAACATCGGCCTCCCCTTGGCCAAGCAACAGAAAGAAACAACGTCTTACAACCGAACATGACCAAAAAGATCCAAAAAGATACTCCTGAAGGTCCGACAACGTCCGTTCTTGGCAAAATCACGGTCTCCTCGTTTCTTCATCCTCCACCGCCGTCTTGTCCGCGAGGCCCGGCGGCGCTTCGAGCGAGAGTGGCTTGCTTCGCGTTGGTTGAGCGGGGTGAAGGGTTTAGGCAGGGCTTCGATGAAAGGATGATAAAGGATGTATGGCTCGGTTTTGCTTCTTTTGTGGGAGACTATATGCCAGGGAATCCAAATGTGCATTTTATTTGTTCAAACACGTTCGCACAAAAAATCCGTGCATCCGGCCTTTTTTGTCAAATGGACAAATTTTCTGGAATTCCTCCGAATATTGGGATTCAATATAATTGTTTGGGTTTTTGTCGGTAAAATGTTGATAAAGTTTGGGTTTCATATGGGTACGCTTTTGTATGGTATTGTTTTTTTGTCCATAGGGCTAAATACGCTAATTCGTTAATTAAAATGTCCATACGATAAATTCTGTCCAAATACGGCCTTCGCACAAAAAGAATGTTCATATACGCCTTTCCAGGAGATTATAAGAGATATCGATGGATGTGGGAGTGGGAGACATTCTGGGGGTCGAACTGTGGGAGTACAAGCAGTTCAGTGACATGGACAGCGTGCCCTTTGCATCCAACTGACGAAATCCAGTTGATTCATGGACTCTTCAGGAGGGATTGGCTTAACATGGCTTAACTATCTTGAGGTCGGTACCTGTCGACAAGTATGTCTAATTGGTTAGCTGCCACACTGTCGACCGGTTCTGTAGCAGGAGCTGTCGGATCGAAGCACACCAAGCTCATGTCAACAGTGATCTCCTACAAACATTTGATCCCTCCAACCTCAAGGTGTCCACTCCAACATGAAGCATGTTGAAGCATGTTGAAGCGCTGGGCCGCAATCCCACCACACACAGCGGTTCATCACATCAGATCAGCAGATCCCCCGAAACCGCCGGGTGGTCCAACCTGAGGTGGTCCATGGAGCTGGAAGACGTCGGCTTAGCCCGCGCCGGCGCGCCCGACGTGGAGCCGAAGCTGGCACCCAGACCCTCCCGCGCTTCGCAGAGCGAGGACACCGGCGGCCACCGGCGGCTCGGGGGGGTGGAGGGGCAAAGGCTAGAGAGGTTGGCCGACATCATGTAGACTCTTGAGGACCATACACCCCCCTCATGTAGACTCTTGAACATCCTCTTCAAAGGGGGGGTAATAAAAATCAAGAGTCTACATTGTTCAACTAAGTTGCTTGCATGAGTCCCCGCTTGCTGTAAGGATGTCGATGCTGGGAAGTGAACCAACCACCTTCCAGTCACAGCATGTCACAGACATGTCACACAAGCAGAATGGCGTGTGGCGTTCTTTTTCAGGCAGCATGCAAGCTTCCACCCCACAGCTCCAGAAGGCCACCATGTGGACCCTTAGGTCCGCAAGACCGCAAGACCAAAGGGTCCTGGAATTTGTTTGGATTGGTCATGGAGGTGCCGTACCAAACACGTTCAAGGAACGCGCTCCGCATGCTGCCTGCCGTCCTCTCTCTTTTTTGGTATACAGCAAGTTCGCATGGTTTCACAGGTTTTTCGATTGAACACATCATCTCCTCGCCACCCGCGCCAGGAGCTGCCGAAAATGCCCTTTGTGCACCAGAAGGGCTTGAGGCCAATCCCCAAGGACCACCGTGGTAAGAGCGCCCTGTCAAGAGTGGCCGCTCGGGTGTTTTGGGTGTTCCCCGAAGAATGTAAATATCGGGATCCACATCCCTCCGAGAAAGTGACTGGAGACAATGCAGGTTTGGAGGGTCCAAGTACCTTCTGAGAAGGTATGTGGATCTCAAAGAAGCCTTCTTGAGCTGTTGTTTTCCTGAGCGTTCCCTTGAATAATTAGAGTCGGTTGGATGCACTCTTTTCGAGAGATCATCTTACATGGATCGAGGTTGCATTCCTTGAGTCTTCATGCACCCAGGGGCCAACGGAAGGGATTTGGTCCATCGAAGCATGGTGAACATATCCTCAGGACAAAGAGTTTGAAAGCCGTTCTTCTGATGCTCCCACTCCGGAATGCACACGACTTCGTGGGCGCCACGACTTGGTGTCCCCCTCTCTCTTGGTGTTTTGATGTATGGATGCCTGGCACCCAAATGCAGCTCCGAAAGCTCAGATCCTCCTCCGCACCAAAGGTCCCAGTGGTTCCTATGATGTTTGTTTTCAGCTTGTGTACGGCCCAGTGCACGGCCCTAGAGGTTTTGGGTTGGAGGTTGAGGTGCGATTTCGGATGGTCGCATCTCCCATGGACTCAACTCCTCTCCCTCCACTGAGCAAACCAAGAACGAGTGCAATGGTAGGTGAAAACGTGCACTTGCTTGCAGATGTTGACAGAGACCTGACACAGAACCAACATCCACACCTCCAATCTTGAATATGACCCTATCCCCAACTGAATCAAGGGCAACCTATGAATCTATATTCACCCTATTAAGATCCTGGGCCTCAATCCAATTTCTTATCTCCTCACCTCTACCATCAGATCATCATCTCTTGCACAAAGGTAGAATCTTGGGACGACGTCCTGCCAAGATCCTTAAGACCAAGACACTTGCATTGCACAGCGCCTGTCACCACGCGTGGAACGGGACTCTGCCGGTGGGTGAAGGTCTTCTTGTGGGTCGGTCGAACATCCAAAAACACGACAAGGGACCTCGGACCTCGGATTCTACAGGTCGGTGGTGATGCCAGTAAATGCATGTAAGTGCATTGGGTGCAAGGAGGTATGAACTTTAGGCTGGCTGTCGTTGGTTATTCTGTGGAGATTGGAAGAAGATGACACCTAGACCCTGCCTCGCAACACGTGATGGGCATCAAGAGATATTGGGGTGGGCAACCATTGTAGGCGGCCTTTTTGGTCTTCGTTCGGTTTACCCGGCCGTGCCCCTCAGCGTGCCCAAGCTGATTTTGGGGTCACAGCTCCTGGAAACTGGTTGATGGATGAATGGAGGGGATACCCACGATAACCCCCAAGTGATAAGGGCACTCTTTCCCGCAAGTCCTTGATATGAATTACTGTAACCGTAACCTACTCCCTTTTGCCCAAACAGGCACTTTCCTCCCATGTTATTAGTTACAAAGTCTATATAACCACAACTGTCCTTTAGATTCGATCCCTTCCATATGTGACACATGCAATCCCTCATCAATTCATCAAAGGTCCTATTCCCCCGCACTTACCAGAGTCACCATCACTAAACCCCTTGTGGGCCTGGCCCACACACACAGGCAAGACCATCAAACGACCCTCCTGGGACCGATCAGCCTCCGCTTCGCGTGGCGTTTCGCGACCGTTCCAGGCGGGTTCTGAGCGCGGTGAAGGCCTTGGGCCTCAAGTACCGCACCATCCGCCGGCGGAACCTGGGCCCCTCGGAACGCGTAATGCGTGGAGACAGCTTCACACAGACGGAAGCAGAGGAAGCAGACAGAAGGGGGGAAAGCAAGACTCGAAAGTGCGTTGCCAGAGGAGCAGCATGTGGTTTTGGTATACTTGAGTGTGCCATGTTTTTGAAAAGGATAGATGTACAAAAATAGGATGGCGGCTTCCTCGTGAGATGGATTGGAGAGCAGATGGTGGGGTGTGGGGGTCGTTCTGGCGTGTGTGGAAGCAGTGGAACTTTCCGCGGCAGGGACACCAAAAACGGCTCTTCCAAAAGCAAGTGACGTAGTTGCGATGCTCCATCAGGGAGTCTACCTGATGGTTTCCCCACAAACGCAGAAACTAGGGTCTCCTGTGGTAGGCTTTTTGGGTCCACGAACTGGTTGCTTGTCAATATCCGAGCTAAAGGAAGGTGCCCATCCAGGTACCCGTTCTTTGACACAGCAGCGATGTTTTTGGATTTGGATGTGCCTTTGTATCCAGAATCCTTTTTGGAGGGAAACAGCTTTTGGCATGCCCAAGGTGTTTGGGCCATTATATGAGGCATACAGTCCAGCACCCAACGGGCTGAACGGTGGCACGGCACCGTCTCGGGCGCACGTGCAGCAACGTGAAAGGTCGAGACTTGGACTGGGACGAAGCCAAGTCCAAGTGGATGAGCCGCTTGGAGACGCTAGCTGAGCTGAGGGAGTTGAGTGGAGTGTTCGGTTTCTCGCTGCGCGGAGGTCGAGAGAAGCGTTGAGAAAGAGGAAACCCAACTTTCCAGATGTTTCACGAGACGAACCAGGGGGGCTTTCACTGGTTTTCACTCATTTTATCTCATTTTGCTATTGGCTTTGGGGGGACCAAGTACCAGTTGCTATACTTGGTAGATTTGTAGCAAGTCACAGGTCGATGTTGGACACCAATGTATTGTGCCAGGAGTGAGTGAGAGCCTTCTCAAACAGCTGACATTGGAAACCTTAGGAATGCAGAGTGACTGGTCATGTTTCCTGGAGGTTCAGGCCTTGGCGGCATCCGAGATTGCAACAGAGCAGTAATAGCAGTGGATTACACCTACCATTCAGAACAGGAACCATGTGGCCATGAGAAGGGGATAGCTTTCACAACCTCATAACCCACACGACTCTTTCATGCACTTTCAGTCCCATTTCCTGGCGCTCCACCCGCCCCACCGTTGCCACGGCACTGCACCCCGCCCGCTGTGTCCCACTCCGCGCCACCCGGAGCCGCGCCGGACGTGCGCGTGGGCGTTGCATCAAGGTTGGTACGAGAAGAACAAGAAACACCGCTGGCGCCGTATCGATCTGGCGGACTCTCCGACGCTCGGCGGGCAGGGCTCTGCAGGAGGACCTCAGGAGTGGTGAGAGGAGGAACGGAGAGGGTCCTTATGGCCCGGGTAGTTGTGTTCCGTTTTGGTTCATGCAGTGGAAGGAAACGTCAGGAAACCATGGCCCCTCACAAAGTTTGGATGGCCTTCTCATGGACTTGTCCGGTCGACTCTGGTTGTTTTTCAGCATCAACAACTAACAGACCGTCCAAAGAGCCACTCCCGACTGGGCTTCTCCCAGGTGAACTCGGTTGGATTAGAGGTGGCCATTCTCTGGCCCAAAAGCCTGAGGAACCAAGTGCGCAGGGAGTCTTTGTTGGATGCATTGACCACCATAGGTTCAAAGACTATCTCATCCCAGGTAGGCTTCCAAATTCGGAGGCGTCAACCGGTTTCATTCAGTCCCAGCGCTTCTTTCCAAGGAAAAAGGCCGACGTGGATGCAGTCTATGAAGGCCTGACGTGGATGCAGGTTGTGAAGCAACAGAGACCTGGGTCCCCAAAAAATGATTGCTTCCGTGATGTTATCTAACTAACTGAAGACTTGTGAGGGAGAGACATGGGTTCCAACATGAACGCGTTTGCATGAAGACTGGCCCAGTTTTCTGTAGAAATCGGAGTCCAAAGAAGTCCAACGAACTTGTCCCATCTCGCTGTGCCGCTGTGAGCTGATCATGTTAGCCGACCCGCCGACCTGCTGATTCTGATTCGGCGGCCTGGCTTTCGATCGGGCGGTATGTATGAGTCAGTCCCAGAAGATACAGGCTCACTCACATTTAACGTACGTGTTTTCATTGGAAAATTGATGAACATGGAGCATTTAAAGGCAAGACTCGTTTCCCGTAGAAACAGCTGGTTGGAACCCACGTCCCCGATGTGTTTGGGTCGGGTCGCTCCATCGGTCGCCTGTTGGGTCGCCGAGCATTGGTGTCGAAAAGGCCAGCATGTTCGATCCTGGAAGAGGTTTTTCTCTGAAGGAGGCCAGATGAGACTGGAACAGCTGCAGTCTTTTCTTGGAAGTTCCAACTCGGATCCAGGTCACACTGCATGGTCTTGCGCCACCATGCAGGCATCCCAGATTAGGCATGCAGCATGCAGATGCATCTTCGGAACCCCAAAAAGACGCAAAAGACACCAATCATTAGCCCCTATAGCTGTTCCGCCAAGTCCCCCCTTTGGCGCCAGGCCACCAGGCGCGTCGCTTGCAGCGCCAGCAGAAGCTGCGTGCCCGGGGCGGCGCCGGCACCGACGGCCGCGGCGGCGCGCCGCAGCTCCGCGGCGGCCGGGCGCGGGAGGCGGTGGCGGAGGTGGACGAGACGCGGATGCCCGAGTGGGACGCTGGGAGCAGTTGATGGTTTTTTGTGGGTGGCCTGGAGCGGTTGGTTGCAAGGTGGTTGGAATTGCGCTGAATGACCGGCACTATACGGCGGCATGCAAGGCACAAACCCTTCGATGACTAGTCGGGTTCTGTTCACAGGCTGAGGCATCAACATGGGGACACAATGACAAGGCTGAGCGCAGTTGGTTATAAACCATTTGTGAAGCGTGTTTCCTGCTTGGACATGGATTGGCTTCGATGTTCGGAGCGCCCACCATTTTCCCACAAACAAACAGGGTGACCCATGTCCATCCATGTCGCGTCTCAGACCGGTGGCAATGAAGATGGGGAACACGATTGGGAAAACTGGCATCCATCGATCGTCCCTGCCTTGACCTCCATGATGTGAATCCCAAACACTCCGGACTGTCATATTTACCGATCAGTTGGGGTGGTCTTAGGGGTCAACTGATCGGCATAATATATGGCAGTCCCATGGAGCTTCTGGGAATGATGTACTGATCAGTTGGGGTGGTCTGTTTGGGGCGGCAGTCCTTTGGCATTCCCATTAGTCAGTCGCGTCTGGCATATTTGTCCCGTTCGTTTAGATGAGCTGTCCCTCCACCGACGGCCCGACCGACGGCCGTCGTCGAGGTGGTTTCGTTCGTTCGTCTTTGGCGCGCTCGGCGCGCTCGATTTGAGGCCTATCGAGAAGGGAGGTAGGGTGAGGCCTGAAAACTGGGCTCAGATCCACTTGCCGTGCGGCCGAAAAGAATGGCTTTGCATGGTCACATTGGCAAGCCAAAGGAGCAAAGTTTGGATGTCCAAAATGCTGTGCACAACGAGGCAGATTGAGATATATACTGTACTGGGATAATATGAGATAATGCATGTTGAGTTTTGCTGGGTCTATCCTGCTCATTCTGACAGGTGTCACTTTCTTATATATATATAGCTGTGCAAGCTGTTCACACCACAGAGCTTGGACCTTGGACCTTGGAAAGCCGAAGAAACGTCCGGGACACGCCGCAGACGAGACCGTAAGAGAGACCGTCATGGCCTTGTTTTGCAAGGCACATGCTGCATCCATTAACAGTGCAACAAGAACCCTGCGTGGCAGGTCCATGACACGCCACTGAAACCACCTACGACGGTCCGAGGAACGGAAGACGGGAGACGTGCAACGTGTGCACCGTGCACAGCGACCGGCTGGGAGGGATGACAGGTCGATGGAAGAAGCCCATTTCGGGAAAGCAGGATGGACTTGGTTCGAAGTCCCTAGCTGATGACTAGCTACATGGATGGGGCTGCACTGCTATGGGGTGCTACTAGCGCTGCTAGCTGCTAGCTGCTATAGCTTGATGGGGTGCACCGAATGGGCTGAGTGATGATCTAATGGTCGACCGCCCAGTGCACCTTCTTCAGCACCTTGGGGCTCAAGAACTCCGCTTCTTCGCATCCACGCAGCGCGCGTATTCGCGCCGCCCAGCTTGTGCGTATCGCCAGTCGTTGCACCTGTTCTGCACCGCGAATTCTGGGTGAGAGTCGCGGAGGGGAAGAAATCTTGAACTAGGCTGATGCCAAACACCTCTTCTATGGTTATTACTAATTACAGGTCTTCATCATCTCAGATCCTGAGCTGTTGAATTCCTTTTCCTCAGCATCGTACCCAGTTGATGGGCAATAGAAGAAAACGACTGTATGGTGGTTGTGCCATGTTGTGCCTCAACAATTTACGCGCTCTTCAATCAACTTGATGCAGCTTCGTTTCTTGCCACAGCCGGTTTTGAGGCTGAGTAGGCCCTCCCCAGCTTGTATGAGAGAAACATGGGGGTGTGTTCATGTATATACTCATGTATACATATATGTACTCTTCACTTACTTGACTGTTGATGGATGTCAGATGGATTGCACATACCTTCAAAACCACTTTGGCACCCCCAGTAACTCCAGGCTTCGCAAAGGGTCCTCCCACCGCGACCGAGGCCCATGGCACAGATCACCAACCTCCCGATGACCAGCACCAACGCGCCTGCACCGCTCTCCCCGAAGGAGGGCACCCGCAACCAACGCACCTGGCGAGGAGTTCGATAGGTGTTTTTAGAGGGGCCGGGCGAGTTGAACGGGTGTAGTTCGTTCATTTGCCTTGCCTTATTAGCTTGATGTGGCCTATCGTAGTTTGGAAGGATTTGCATTTGTAGAGCTGCAAGCATGGTGCAGAGCAGAGGGCTGGGGTTCTCGGGCGTTTTCCACTCAGCCACAGGGTGCAGTGATCCGACCGTTGTTTTCGTGTACCGAAATCGTGGTGCTCCAGGCCGAGGGCTACGCCAACGACTACACGGCAGAGCCCATGAAGATCGTCTCTTCTTTGGAGACATCACCAGGCGGTGATGTCGCTGGGGCGTTCTTGGGCGTTTGTCCATACGGGCCCAAAGTCGTCAGATGTGTAGCCAGGCTGAAAGACAAAACAAGCTTATAGCCTATAGCTTATTATATTTTTAGAACACATCGACAAATGTTTCAATTAAGAAGCAAATAAGATCAAATGAGTCGATCATATAGCTTGTTATTCTCGATTGGTTGTTTCTTGGTCCCTTTTTGGGGAGGACATTTGGACGACCCCCTTGAAATTCCGGAGATGTGCATGTTTGGGGTGGCGAGTGTTGGGTTTGGCGTCACCAGGATAGCAAACCAGACATATGCCAAGATTGGGGCAGTGCAAGCCGGTCAAGCCCCAGACACGTGCTTAGTAGCATAGCTGCGTGTTTTTCTGCTTAGCTGCACTAGAAACTTGGCCTGGCAGGCAGCAAGTTGAGGGCGACCGCGCCAGTTTTTCTACCCAAGTTACTTGGTCCGGTTGGGCGACCGCGCTTGGTCCTGTGGAGTGAGTTGGGGAGGCGAAGTTCTTAGACGGGAAGTGCTGTAAGATCCAGCCACCTGTTGAAGAGACCTGCAATTGTTGAAGGACAGCCTTTGAAGCTTCAAGCAGAATCAGACAAGAAGAAACTCAATCATTCTACCAATCTCCTTTTTGGATCTGGGAAGTCACTCATTTGCATTCAACACATCTTCGATGACATGTTCGCTGGCGAGCCCTTTGGTCGGAGACGTCGGCCGATCTTGGAGACTGCTCGGCGCTACGCCGACAGCGCTTGGAATGGCATGATGGGTTCAGGAGTGTAGAGTCTAGAGCGCTTGGCTCCTGCCGGCCTTCCTTCTAAACAGCGTTGATGGTTGAGTTGACTTCCTTCTTGACGGAAGTCAACTCACCCCCCCCACGCAACAGCTTCGCAGCACTGCGGTGGCTGCGAGCCCAGGCAGTTTCAAGTGGAATGCGAGAAGAAGCTCTACACCGAGGCAATGGTGAAAAAGACAGATGCTGCTGCCTATGCCTGCAAAAATGAACACCTTGAACTTCCTGATGCCCCCTACGTTGTAGAGGAAAATCGTCTTCCAAATGTCCATGTTCATGTTCCATGGGATTCTTCCCGGGTGCTTTTTTGACTGACTGGTGCCACAAAAGTAGGGAACCAGGGTGGCTGGATCCAACGGAATCTTGGAGGTTCATGCCCTTCCCTGCGAGTCGCACCAGTCTGTGAATCAATGCACCCAGCCTTGCAGAAATAGTTTTGGCTATGTCAAATTAATGTAGGCCGATCAAACCTGTGAGCTGTGGGGAAGATGTGAAAAGTAAACAAGATCGAGGTATTTGGATGACCTGAAGATGTGACTTCTGGCTCTTTGGTTTGCATCACAACCAAGTAATATAGTAGTACATACTTAGAAGTATACATACATTCTACTTCTACCTTCTAGTCATTCTCTTGAACCAGGAAGCCTTGATTCATGCATTGACGGTGATTTTGCCGAAACGATAGAGCAGATGGTGGTTTCAAGATGGGCAGCTCCCGTCCCTCGCCGGATGCGGAACCGCTGGAACGCTTGGGTGTGCTTTCTGTGTGTTGTGGGTCCTACATTTGCCTTTGGGCGTTTTGGGTCAAAGCCAAGAAGTGCCTTGCTAGTTCTGGTGGCCTTACATGGCCAATCTCCCCAAAAAGGCAAATATAAGGACTATAAAATATACTTTCTAGGTGGGAATTTGGTGATCATCAGGGGCATCCTTGGGTCAGCCTCGCCCGCCTGCGCCTGCACGCGCCACCTTCCGTCCTCGTCCCACCTTCCACCCGCGAGGAGGATGACTTGGCTTCGCCCACCAGCAAGGATCCTGGAAGCCCTTCCTCGGCCCCTTTGGATCGAAAGGAGCCACACACGCGGGGTGTGGTGAGTGGGGCAGGCGGAGGGAGTGGGGTTCAAGTTGGAGCAGATTGGACAGTGTGAAATGATGAGCTTGGTGTTTCAAGAGTCGGGTGGGTTTTGTCCTTGAAGTGTCAAGTTTCATCATCTGCTGCACTACAGGTTGGGAGGGTAGTGAGAATACGAAGCCACGTGGCAACCGCGTTCAAGAAAGGGTATCCTCATGCCTTGCTGAGGTGGTTTTCTGTGCTATAGGTTTTCATAGATGTTCTGTTTCATCTCAAGGATTTGAAGTGGACAACTCCCCCAATCTCCACGTCAGTTCTTTGTTCGATTCCCCGAATCGCCATTCTTACATCCGAACCAGTAAGTCCAAGCATGGAAACACCATTTATAACAGGTTATAACCAACAAGTTGCACTTGTTACTTATAGTTTCTCACTCTTTCTCTCATGCAGACCTGATGCTGGACCTGATGCCTGAACCGCCGGTCGCTCGGGTCGCACGCTGAGGTCATGAGCCGCACCGGGACACGAGTCCATTTCCCACCAGGTGCCGTCCGGGCGGCTCGGGGCGTTCGGCGGTCAGCGGTGGACGCCTGCCGTGCCGCATCCCCAAAGACCCGGGAACCGCGGGTCGGTGCGGCGGCAGACCGTTACAGGATGTTACACGTTGCGGTGGCAGACGACATGCCATCTTTTGTTGGACCTGTTCGACCTGTTCTTCCCCTCCCCCCGAGCCACGGTGAGCAAACCTGTTTCTCGGTTTGCTCGCTCCGCAGGCCTCGAGCCACCCGACGACACCCCGAGCCATGGCTCTTCGTTGCACGCTTCGGGGCTTTGCCGCCGGGCAGAGAGCGTCGAACCGGGACGAACCGGAATAAACGGTTTCGTCCTGGGCGAACTGGGGATGTGGGATGTGGGATGGATGTGACATCCGAATTGGTAAATCCAGCATTCCTGTCGAACGGAGAGGTGGCATGGTGGCAGCTCTTGGATTGAAAGTTGACTGGCACATTTGACGCCTTTTCCCAGGTCACTGAGTCATCGTCGTTAGGCAAGGCGCCCACTCCCATTCTATTGAGGCCGGAGCTGGCGGTCTTTTTGCATACTGACTCGTGCATTCCAGAAGTTCCAGGGTGCTTTGATGTCCAATGAGCCTGATAAGTCTGCAGGACTGCTGACCTGCCTCAAGAATTCAGCTGGTGAACTTGGACACCGGGACACCCTGATCCAACTGTCCAAGTTGAACTTCCAAGGAGGAAGGAAGAACCACTCCAACCCGATGGAACAAGAAATGGGCCATGAAAATTGAATCGGATCAGGGCAGGTTCTTTACTCCCTCCCTCCCAATGGATGTGAAGAAGCCATCAAATGAATAATTCTTGGAATTTATTTGATGTTGAAATGATTTGACGAGTGAAAGTCAATTTCAGGTGTCTCAATGTTTAAGGGATCCTTTCATGGGCCTATCCTGTGATGCTTAAATTACGAAAGCCAGCCTTCGTAGAAGGCGCTAGCGGAGTTGTGTCTGGCGAACGAAGTGAGTAGTTAGGGGGTCTGGGGGGGGTGGCCCGAGAAAGGTATACGTCAACTCGGCACATGCTGGGGGAGGAGGGTGCTTCGAGGGAAGGTTTTTTGAGGTTGTGTTGGAGGTGATTTTTGAGGGGTGGTGATGCAAGAAATGCCAAATGCATCATTTGCATCATCTGAATGGAAAGGTGTAGTTGGCACCTTGCAAGGTATAGAGACCTAGGGTAGCTATAGTGCAGCTACCAGGTATAGTACTTCAAGTTCCCTTTCCGTCAACCGCTTGAGAACCTCTACACACGCACAGCAATCCACAGCTTTGAAGTCTCATTCGTGCTTTGAACTTGTATAGGTGTGTAAGAGGTATAGCAACATAGTATTTATACGGACCCAGGGTAGCTACAAGTAGCTACAATTCTGTTCCCGGGTATGGCGCGCATGAGGCTTCAAAGCTGTGGTTTTCAAGCTAAATT